ATGGTCTTGGAGTGGGAGAAAATAAGTTTATTTTTTAAATTGAAATTTTTCCTCTTCTGACATCTTAATGATATGTGGAAGCTATTGTATGAAAATTACCGATTCATACAGGAGTATGAGGAGGAAAAAGGTTATTTATGGTGAGTCAAAGTTTTTATTTCTAAGAGAAAATATTTAAAGAAATAGTGGTGCATGCGTATGAGGAAGAAAGAGGGAAGGAACTGACTGAAATCGGAAATGGTTGCGGTAGCAAATAGTTAAAATTCTTTGTGAGGCTTTACTCCACTTGAAACACTGGGAGTGGCAGGTAGCTGGCAATACCAATGGTGGCAAAGTTAGTTTTAGTGCTAGTTGAATGTGGTATGTGTTGCTACGTTGTTTAAAATAGACTTATTTCTATGTATAGTGTTTTATGTGTGAAAGATCCTTGCTTCTCCATGCTACTTTCTGTGTTAAATTTCTAGTGCATTCTGCGGTACATTTCTAGTGCTTTCTGCTTTTCTCCTAAATGAGAAGGAACCATTGTCTTCATTGAGGATGCTAACTCAATGCTGCTGTTCTTGGATTAGTGAGAGTTTGAGATTCCCAGTCGTGACTCGTTGAGATCTAGTATTGATTTCTTATGATTCTTGCAGCTGTTTTCATGCTGATGGATTTTGGCTTCTACTGGTTTTTATCTGGTTTAGAGCTGGTGATCTGGACAGGAGTGCTCCATGTCAGTTCATTGATTCCTTCTGTACTGTGTGGTAGGTCTGTTAGCAAGACTGCAGTATTGTTCATCAAAACATCATTTGCTTGAAGAACCTCCTGTTTGGTTTAGAAGACCTTTGTTTTCCAAGCAATACTTTTTTTTTCTTTTTTAATGCAAATGTTATTATAGGATCTCTGTGAAAAATTATTCATTTTGGTCACCTACTCTAGATTACTGGTTTGAAGCCTTCTGCCCTGATAGGAGCGGGTACTACTACTCAGTTTAATGTCAGTTTTTCTATTCGTGAAAGTAGTGCAGGTGAACCACTGTATGCTACCACTTTTTTATTGTTCTCAGGTGCGCAAATAGAGAAACTTCAGTCAGAAATTACTTGTGTGCGGGATTCGTAGTGGAAATAGGATTTTTCTTCCTTCATACCTCCTAGCTGAAGTGTGTGTACTTGGCTGACTTTTTGTAAATATTCAGTTATTCATAGCTGGCAAGATTGCAGGCACTGGAAGCACTGCTGCATTTCATTGATAAAAATATTCTGGATAACTTTGTGTCTCTGAAAGACATTACAACACTTTTTACTTACTGTTACTATCGCAGCACACAGATCCTCGCTGAAGTGCGGCGAGTGTGATGCTGGAATGAACTGTTAGAAAAGGTTTCCTTATTGACTTATTTCTAGTCTGTAACTGCAAAATAATGATTCGTTAATATGACAAATTTGTTTTTGTCTTTAATATTGTGTCTATTAGGAATATAGAAAACTAATTTCTGATCTGTTTATTTAAAAGTGCATTTTGCATTTGTAAACAGAGCTTGTTCCAAGCTTGATGGATCTTAATTTAACATCCTCTTTCTTTTTGAAGTAGATTGAAACAACCACCCACCCCCAACAATAAACTTGTGGTCTTTATGCCTCTGGTTACGAATGAAACTATTTAATATGCTCCTGTTGCACCTGGAGTACTTCAGGTGCTTGTCCATCGGGAAAATCTCCAGTTCAGTTCGCACACAGGATACTACATGATTTGGTTCCCAGTTGTTTCAGCACAAACTTAGTGCTGTGTGTACCTGAAAAAGAATGTCTTGATTTTCTACTTTAATTCTAGCCAAGGTGAAAATGGAGAGTAGTAAGTAGTGTCATAGTGTAAGTAATAGTCATATTTTCAAGGCTATCTTATCATACCTATAGCATAGGTCCATACTTTATTTTCTCGTGATCACTTATCATTAAATATTGCCCTGCTATCTAGCAGGCCAGATTATCACAAGGGTTCAGTCCTCTCACTAGCACGTTTGTCTGTAGTTTCAAGGGAGTGTGCTAAAAATCTGGTTGAATGTTTTGCCATTTACATGGTTTAATGCTTTTAAACAGTTGGCTAGAAACACTTTCTGTCAATAAAGTCCAAAGAATTCCATAAATTATTTAACAATTACTGTAGCTTAGCTTGAGCGTTCAATAAGATAGGAATTTTCAGTCACTTATAAGAGTGTAGTCTCTTACTTCCTCTTGATTTGTTAGTATCCAGGCTTTTCTTTGTCCTGTTCTTTAAAAAAAGAAAACCCAACACCCCTAAATGTGGCCAGCGGGAGTGAAAATGAAGTTACCAAAACTCTAGTTTCGTTCTGAAGCTTCTGCAGCCCTCCTGACTGAGTTCAGACGAAGTGACCAAATTATCTATGGACTCTTATTTAATAACTGAACATGTGGCTGAATATTGTGCCATGGACTGGCTGAACATAAACTGATAAAATGTGGAACTGAAATATCCTTGTTAGCAGATGCTTTACTATTATAGAAGGGGACAAACCCATGTAGAATGATGGAACTTAATCTGCTGAAGTTCTAGAAGATTTCACATAATTTTTCAGTGATTGATTTACTTTCTATTTTAAAAATAATTCCTTCATCTTTTAAAAAAATGCTTGTGAATGGAAAGTTGTTGGGGTCTTTTTTTTATTTTTCATTGCAGATGGTACTGTTACCCTTTTCTAGTTTTTGAAACCAGGGAGATGAAGAATTACAATATACCCTGCTTTGCTTCTCATCTTGTGCTTGGAAGTTTAAAATGCATTTCATTACTGAGATGTAAAACACATGGAAGGTAGCGCTTGAAATGTTATGCTAGAGAATTCTTTTGGCTTGCAGCACATCACACCACAGTGTATGCAGTTACTCTTCACCTTTATTTGGGTATTGTTGGAAAAGATAGCATATCAGGTTGCTGAAGTAAATACAGCACAATGGGAATTCATAAGGTTGAGCTTGCACCCTGAAACAAATTCCCCACAGGCTGCCCAGGGAGGTTGTGGAGTCTCCTTCTCTGGAGATATTCAAGACCCGCCTGGACAAGGTCCTGTGCAGCTTGCTGTAGGTGACCCTGCTTCGGCAGGAGGGTTGGACTAGATGACCCACAGAGGTCCCTTCCAACCCCTACTATTCTGTGATTCTGCCTTGCTGTATTGTCACTTCAGCAATCCCATCTGTGACTTAAGGCATTTGAGTGAAACTTGGCAGGAGAATCCGGGGAGAAACCTCCTTGGTTTGCTCTTTAAGATAGCTAGGGCTTTGGCAATTTTTAAAAACACTTGTTTAACTGTTGTGGAGCAACCATTTTTTGGTTGGGAGGCCTTGTCTGTTCTGGAGGGATTTTGGCAAATTGGAGGAAACTTGTTGGCTTCCAGAGTCTGTACTATTGTGATATAGGTCTTGGTTGATGACAGGGACTAACTTAATGAATCTTTGGCTACCACCTGCTCAGTTGAAAAGTAGACTAAAACTGTTGACTTTCTGAAGCTTATCTTTTGTTGAAATTACAATGCCGCCTGTCCTGCCTCAAGATCTATCTGTAATTAGGAACAAGAATGAATCAAATGATTGTATTAAGATAACACCCAAAGACATCGGGCATTTTTTTTGTACACTTATGAAATCTGTAGCAATAAAGCAAAACTACTTGAAATAATATAAGTAGTAATTGTTTCATTCTGATACTGATTTTACCGTTCTGTTAGGTACTGTCTCAACATTTGCACCTCTAATAGTACTCCCAATCTGAAATCCAGCAAATAGCTTGGTTTACTGTAAGCATTACCTTTTATAAAAGTTGTGTGTCTTGAATGAAGGAAAACCAGACTAAACGGGGAAACTTTCGCCTATTTTGCTGTTTTCTCTTCAGCAAATCTGCTTGTGCGTGTTGTCATAAGCAGTTTTTTCCTTTGTTCCTGGATTCTTGGAAATTCCTGAAATTGTCATCAGAGCAAAGTGTATAATGGTATTGGGGGTTACATCTTTTCAACGCCGATACTTAATGGTAGTGAAAAAGCAGATGAAAGGAGTCAGTTACATTCATTTGAAAATGAGTGAATTCGTGAATTCCCTAGCCAAGCAGTTACAAGAAGAGGGAAGATTAGTGGCTTGGAGTTGGAAACTGTGTATCAGTAAATCTTAATAAAATCATTCTGTGTTTACTGATCAGCTCTGTAGTGATATGACTGAATGCCATGTTTGCTCAAACTGGTTTTAACTTAAGTATTTATTTATTTGTGTTGCAGCCATCAGTGAAGTTGCTGATATTTGAAAGCCAAAGCTTGGTCTTCCATGCTTTCAATCAGAGATAGACACAGACTTTGCTTTTGACTTTTTAAGAGCTTAAAATTTTGCTTTTGGATTGCTTTCTTTATGCTTTCTGAAGAAGCTTCAGGTATTGTAATGGATTGGAGTAGGAACTGGAAAACACCTGGATATTTTGAAATAGTGATTTTAATCCTTTTAAGTCAATTGTTTTTGCAATGGACCTGACCAGCAGATAAATGTTAGTTGCCTCATTTGTGGAGGGTAGACAATGCATGAGGATATTTCTACTATAAAACTGTGTGCTATGTAAGAGGGCTGGTCACACCACGAATGAGGTGTATGTTGAGAGATGTGCATTAACCTGCTTGCGGTGAATTACTTGGCAGTGTGTAATTTATAGGTTATGTGGCATTTTCAATCTGATTTTTAAATGGTGGAGATTAGTAAATTGCCTTTTAATGTTTAACAGGCTGCTGAAAACTTTCTTCCCTTAACCAGCTGCCCAGGTCTTGATACAAATTCTGGTGGACTTCAATTTTTACATTAGAAAGATCCGATTGCTGTTTTCTTGGTACCCTTGTATGAAATAGGGCACAGTGCAAAGGACAAGGTAACAGCTAAACATACCCCCTTGTGCAAAGGGAGAAGCTAGAGGAGTAACAGCCCTAAATTTGGTGGTGTTGATGAGGTGTTAATTATTTTCTGCCCTGTCTGTGGAGTATGGCGGAAGAAATTTGGTTACATCTGCTTTTGTAAGTGGACTGGTCTTGTGACTTGATGAAAAGTAATGAAGATGGGTTTTGCAGCACACACATGGATCTACTTTCCTGCACTGCTCTGACAGTGTGCATTTTGTGGGGTTTTTTTTGTTTGTTTTTTTTTCCCCCCCCCCCCATGGGGATGGTAGTTGTACCATAACTCCTGTAGAAATACAAATTGGCCACAGTTCTAAAGGGTTCATTGGAAGCCTACACTGAAATAAAGTACCTCCTTAAGCTTCAGTTCTTCAGGGTGCAAAAGTTTTTTTTGAAACTTTTGATAAAGCTGACCTAAGCATGAGGTATTTTACTTCTCTGTGTCTTACTGAAAGATATAGTGTAAGGGGAGGTATTTTAAGACTGAGAGGGAAGTAAAAGAAAGCTTTGGCGATAGAAAGCTTTTATTTCCAGGAGGCACTCCTGAATTTCTCTTAGTGCTTCAAGTGCTGCATAACAGATCCTGGATGTTAAAGCTTTTAAAGCTTTTAAAGTGAGGATGTTGAACTAAACAGCAGTGATTAACTCTTGCAAAAATCTGGTGTCTATTGCAAGTTCTTTCTTGTATATGTGGGGACAGAGTGTTTCCTGGCTGGCAAAAATTAAATGTGCTAGTTCAGGAATGCAAAGCAAATTTTAAGCCTGATTGTCTGTGCCAGTGTTTGGTGTGAGTGGCTGGATCATGTAGCATAGTATGTGACTGTTGCCATCCCACATCCAATATTGGTAATAAAAACTAGGAAGCCAACAACAAAGGCTTTTTGTGAAGTTCATTGTTATGTTCTGTCACTGCCAAACTGTGGTGTGGGTGGATTTTAATGCTTCTTAGAGCTAAAGAAAATGTTTCTAAGCATATGAATATTAGCCATGTGTGTTGAATATTCCACTTAATTTCATTTAGAAGAAGTGCTCATGGATGTGAAATGTAAACATAAATGTTGATATGTGCCAAATTTCTATTTCAAGATCAGATAGTACCTTAAACAAGCTAAAGGATGTATTAAAGTTGAAAATCTCATGGCAGGAGTTTGACGCATCTAGAGAAGGTGGATTTAGAAAACATTCCGACTTCTGTCTTAAATTTTAGAGCAACATCGGCAGCATTATCTGATGCATGTGTGCAGTTTCTTACCTACCATCAAGCTACTGTAATAAAATAATACTCAAGTACAGTATCTGTCGAACTATTATTAAAAGCCCTCTGTAGGCAAACAGCACAATGGGAAACAACTCTGCATGTGAGACTTGTTTCCAGTATCTTTTTGAAAGATATAGAAGGGCCGTTTCTTGGCAGGGTGAGATTTATGTACTGTTTTCAGATACTCTTACATGAAGTCATGTTGATTCATAAAGCCCACAGTATTAGCTCTCATACTTAAAATCATAACTTCCTACTACAGTAAAACACAAGTTTTTAAATTGTATCCTTTTAACTTCCAAATGACAAGATTTTCTTTTTTAAATACTTAGATTTCCAAACTGTCGTAAGGCACTCTGAGTAAATTTGATTCAACCTCTTTTGTGAGAAATTACTTGTTTTAGGTTAATTCTTATTTATGTGAAACATCTGTGGGTGGCTGGGGAGATCTCTGTCCACAGCCTCGAAGAAAGTAAACATTCCTCATCGGACAACAGCCAGAGGATAGGAAGTGCCACTCTTAAGTCGGGTGGTAGTACCCACAGATAAACTGAAAAGAGTAAGAGAGTTGCTTGTAGAGGTTCCCAGTTAATGTTGTGCTGATGTGGTTGCCAAGGATATTGGCCTCTTCCTGTGAAATTTGTGTCTGTTGTTAACAGTGAATGAGGAGCATGGTAACATATATGGAGTACTGTGAGCAGTAGTGTGTCTCTAGACCCACTATTTTTGTTCCCTTTCATTTTAAAATATCAGAAACCTGCATTTATACGTTTCTGCCTCCACGCCCCCCATCAGGTTAAACCATGTACCGGTCTCTTTTTATTTGTAGAAGGAGAAGTCTGTGTATGGGCGATTGCCATGACTCTGTTACATGCAATACCTAGCTGTTCTGTGTTACCTTGATTGCGTATGTGACAGACCGTTGCGAGCTGCACAAGTTTGACAAAGATTTTGTCAACCAAGTTAGGGTAAAATACATAAATTTGGCAAATGGGCTTTTATGAGCATTTAAGCATTGTGTGATATCATCCTTTTATATTAGCTGTTCTGTCTCCATGTTGATATTATCAATAAGAACTGCAAAATTGGTTTGATTATTCCAGTTGGTGGTACACTAAGCTCAGCTCATGAAACATGCTTTCATATTTTGCTGATTCTGAGAAAAAACAAGACTTGAGAAAGACAGGCAGTATGAGCAGTGGGAATTTGATGTGCACTCATTTTAAATCTCTAAAGAGTGCTATCAAAAAAGGCGTGCTTTGATGTATTGAGTAGTGGGCTAAGACGAATGTAATTTCTGGAAGTTCTGAGGTGTGGGAAATCAATACAAAATGTTACATTGAAGGATACTGCTTCAGAGGACAGCGTGGCTTCAAAAATTCATATAAATCCATTTCCATGGCAGCTATTTCATATGCAAATAGAATAAATCATGAGTGGTGAGGGGTTCGGATATGAATTTCTCAAATCTATGAAGATTTGTTTTTGTGTTAGTAACATGAAGAACAACGTAGGGATTGATACAAAACTACCTGATTATCTTACTCAGGAGACTTGATTAAGAAAAACTATAGTGTTTTTTTCCAATGTGATTGATGTGTTTCTATTTTCTTCGTACAGTAAATCAATTTGAATGTCTGTAAGTGTAAGAATATTAAAATATTTAACCTGTCGTCCCCCTTTAGCTATGCTCCTTGGTGTCGAGCTTGTCGACAGATTGAATTGACGTGGGAGAGCTTTGCAAAGGAAAGCAAACATCTAGATATCACTGTGGGAAAGGTGGATGTCAGTCAAGAACCAGGTATGGTATGAAATAGACTGTTTTAATAAAAGGAATTATTCAATTTAAGTACCACTTAATATCTAGGAGTGTGAATTATTTTACTGGAGTACCTGGGATGTCAGCGAAGTCAGAAAAGAGGTTTCTAAATCAAAATAACGTTATCCACATTTTGTTTCTCCGTGCAGTTCATATCTGTGAGCCTAAGTTTATAAAAACTCAATTTGAAGGATTAAAGAATTGCGGGAGTGATCTGGCTTCATAGTGTATTAAAAAGGGGTTATTCTCTGTTTTAATCTGCTTCACTGAAAGCTGTTGCCTGTCTCATTCCTCTTTTGTCCAAACTGTTTGTAGAAGAATCCAGTTGTGTAGCTTCCCAGTACCAAGAGTTTCAGGGTGTGGTAGCATTACTGCAGTGTGAGTCTGCTTGAATAAGTTCTTAACTGTTTCAGTGATGGTGCTGGTTTATTGTCTTGTTTAACTGTAATAGTGCTTTGAAGTATAAATCTTCGTGTTATTTTCTGTTGATGATGCACGTATGCAAATGTATTTACAAAAAGGGGTTTGTAACTGTCCACAGAAGCATGAATACAATCTTATTTATTCCTTTAATGTCTTCCTCCAAAGTTTTGAATGTGTTTTTGTGTAAGCAGTACCAATATTGTTTAAACCTCTGCATCTCTGGGGAATGCTTCATGCTTATTTTGGCTTTGAGGGGATAAAAGATTTATAAGCAGTATCAAAAGACTGACAGTTAGGAAGAGATGTTACGAAAATAAAAAGGCTAAGCTTTACTTATTTTGTTTTTTGCCATGTAAACTATGTGGAAGACACATCCATTTTATTATTTGAAAACATGCCAAACAAGTTACCTTTATCAAGTTAACAGCAGGGACTTTAAGTTCACAAGAAAATGCCAGCTGTTCCAGACCTTGCGTAGGCTAATGTTTTGTTAAAAGTGTAGAAGTGTATAAAAACTCTGATGCCAAAAAGCTGTTGATGTGAGGCTCTCTTTTAATGCATATACTGATCATTAACAGTTTATCAAACAAATGAGTTTATATCTATGCAAAAATTTTTAATATTCAAACTTAAAATCAGCTTCTGCATGTTGACAAAGTAGTGGTTACTCTGGAGTTAAGGCTACAAATGAAGATATGTTATAATCCTAACTTGTTATTTTCTCCCAATTAGACAGGGATTGTTAACTTAAAAATGCACTTTCAGAAGTGAGGCTGTAAAAATAAAATACTTGAGAACTTGAATTCTTCTTCCTGGCAGAGAACTTGAATGGAAGTTTTGGGAGCTGAAAGGGTCAGGTTCTTGATTCTTGTGGTCTGAATTTTTCTGACTGCTGAGTGATGCCAGATTCTTAAGACCTTAGAAGTGACTTTTAACCAGAAGTTCCTTAAATATTTGGATTTCTGATGTTTCTTAGAGTCTTGACCTCTGAGGATGTTTGACTCCTGCAAGTCAAAGGACTGACCCAAAATGATAAATTTATACCAAAGCATGCATAATATAGTTACAATATTCAGTTCCGCACAAAGCGTGAAAACTGTAGCCACCTCTGAAACTAATGAATACTCAAACTGGAAAACAAAGAATTAGTACAGATTTAACCTTTGGTGCTGATGTAGTTTTGAAAGTATATAAGCTTCTTTGGAAATTTTCCAAAGCTATTGAGGTGGTTTTACTATAGGCTTATACTTTATCCTTTCTTTCTGTTGGTGTACTTAAGTGCTCTATCTCCTGTTCCTGCTTGCACAATGGTACCTTAATTAGCTTTGGTTATGTAACCCCTTCATCAAATTGAATGTGGTCAAAATGCATTAAATTAGGGGGAAACCACTAGATGAGTGCAGAATTGTGTAAAATTGCACTTCCAAAACCTGCAGGAGAAAGTAGCCATTCATAGTGCTTAATTGCAGCAAATGCTCAAAGAATAAATCCACCAGAGCTTTAATGGATATTTGCAGCATATTTCAGTCACTTGATGTACTAGTCTTAAAGTGCTTATTCTTTCCTCATCTTTTCTATTGAAACATCCAGTATTTTAAGAACAAATAAGAGACACACTTCTGGATCTCAAAGTTCTGTTTATTTGTGGTGCCTTTCTTAAGCTTCCGATCACAACATTTACCTGTGATTTAAAACAAGACTTCTTGGGTCTTCTGTAATCTTTGAGTACTTGTTTGATGAAAGCAGCTTTATTTTTAAATGGCATTTATATTCTCTGTGTATTTTGGTGTGTGGGGGCAAATACTGAAGGTTTTTTCCTGTTCTTTATTATCTGTCAACTTTATAACGGATGTATGTCAATTTTTCATTTGCAGAGACAGATGCTTGACTGTATTTCAGGTTAAAACTACTAGCCCATTCAAGTTTGTATGAAACAAGCACCAAAACAATTCACTGTCTGTTCTTAGCTTTTTGTAGCTGGCTCACATCTGGTTTTAGTGATGTAAGGAGGTGCCTTAGACAAGCAAAAAACCTCCAGCTAAAGTTTTGGGGATATTTAGATGCATTTTGGCAACAGATTTTCTATTTTATAATTTATAGATTTCAGTGTTTGTTCTGAGACCATTGGTACTTGCTCTAGGATGGGCTACTGGTAAGAGAGGTTTAAGCTAGCTATTTTGTTTTGTTTGCCTGACTAACATTTGTAAGAACTTCGGAGTCTTTCAGTGTTCCCATGACTTTCTCCGCTCTCTCACAGCAGTAAAGGCAGAAAGCTGAGAAGTTGAAATGAACACAACTTGCTTTTTGAACTTTAAAGATGCTTGCGCTTGGTTTGATTTAAACATATAAAAAAAAAAAAAAAAAAAAAAGACAACAAATATCCCACAACTTTCTTTTTGCCTATTCCATAGGAGACTTCGCACTAGGAAAAGTATTACTACTAAAACTTTTAAAAATACCTGGCTTTGTTCAGTCAGGCACATATGTCTCCAGAGGCAGAAACTCTCTTGCCATAATACTTTTCCATGGCTAGCTTCCTGATGCAGAAAGCTGCTTACTTTGTTGAAAGCTGAACAAAGACTTAGTTCCCCAAAGTGTTATCACAGAACTTTGTAAAAGGAAAAGTTAAATAACTGATTTATACTTTTTACATTGGTACTTTATATGAATGGCAGCTGCTAGCTGGAGGAATGTAGCCCTCACTAGTGGAGTTAGACTGCGTATCTAGGGGTTGATAATCTCTGAAGTCTGCTGTATTTTTTTTCAAAAATGGACTGTGTTAGTAGCACGTTTTTAATTTCTGCAGTCTTTAAGTTGGATGTATTGAATAGCAAATAATATGACTAAGCACTGAGGTGAATTCTTACTCTCACTTGCAGGTTTTCTGATTGTCAGGAGGTGATAGTGTCAAGTAGCCTTGACTTTCCTCAGATTTGGGAGTAGGGAGAGAGTGAGCTCTTCACCTGACAACTGAGCTACCTGAGTCATGCAGACAGCCTGCTTGGGAGATGTTTGGGAGCTTTATGCTTCACAGCTGACTCTTTTGCAATGAAGGCATACACTGGGAGATCTGGACTGGTGTACCTAACAGCAGCAAAGCTGGGAACACTTGCACCTATTACTCTGTAGCAGTACTTAAGTGGAAAGCCAGAGAACATTGAACACCTTCTCCACCACAAACTGCTTTTTGATGATTTGGGTAATTTCTCTTTCCTATGAATTGCGTTATGTTTTCACTATCTAGGATGGTACTTGTAAAAAGATTATTAGGTATTTGCCAGTCAGTGAAACGCATGCTTTCACTGTGGGGATCAATTCCAGTCAGCCTCTTGAAGGCCTGCTTCAGTCTTTCTTTTTCCTTTCCACTGTCTTGTGTCTGATGCTCAAAATGCTGACATGACGCACACTTCTGGATGGTGTAAAAAATTGTTCTCATGGTTTAAATTTGCAGTATTTTACAGAACAGAATGTTGAGACATCCTAAGCTTTACTATCATTCTGTCAGCATACCATTTGTATTTACCTAGAGAGGAATGGTGTATGGGAAGGAAGGATAAGAACCCAGAAACATCCAAAACATTGTCTTGCTACAGTCATATTTATGAGAGAATTGAGCCTTCCTACAAGATATAAGAACAGACTGGTGGTGCAATGTATGTGGATTATGTGGAAGAAGCAAACAAGCAAATATGAAGATTAGTTTATTTAATGACTTCAGGGCCCTGATATCTGAAATTTGCAGCTCTAAATCATTTAAAATCAGCTAGAATATGAATTAAAATCAGGGATCAGAGTTTGTAAGCCATTGTTGTTATTGCTGTCATTAGTGGCCCGACTTTCTAGACGAAACAAAGGCCATTTGGATGCAACTACACACAGACACAAGCAATGGGGTGCATTGGTGTGGCTTTTCTTTTGGTTGGAGGTGCATGCTGCTGGTCTGGTCAAAAACTTCAGCTATGTGCAAATATTGATTAGTGAAATCCATGTAGAAATATTACCTTGTAGTAAATGTTCAAGGTAAGCATTTCTCCCTAATTTGTCAACAATATTTAGTATCTGTTATGGTTTGTAGCATTTCTGAAGACAAACTGTAAACCTGTATGTACGAAACAGTGGTAAAAGCTATGTAGTCTACTGCTTTCTAGTCTACAAATACAGATCTGTACCTATTTATAGATGTCAGAATGCTTAGAAATTTCAGTTTTAATTGTTTGATGTGTTTTTTTTCTTCCATTTCTAGGCTTGAGTGGTCGTTTCTTTGTCACAACACTTCCTACAATTTACCAGTAAGTGTGTCATACTAGAAACAGTTGTCTTCTCAGTGCATATGCTTTTTTCCTGTCCTGTTTGAACAGTGGCAGGGAAGATGTAATGAACAACTGGCTTATTTCACTTTAGTCAATCTCTAAAACATTTCTCAGGAGCTCAGTGGACTTAATGAATGTAAAGTATGTATTTTTAACTTATGGTGGGATGTTCTTCTACAGACAGTTTTGTACCTAGATAAAAGTGATGCTTTTTCAGTCTGGGAACAATATTTAAGAGAATTTGTAAAAATTGTTGCAAGTTTGCAGTGTTGGCTTCTAGAAACTTGACCATGTTCGAGCAGACACGACCTTATAGAAGTGTCACTGAAATTTCTCATTTGAATAATTGACTGCATAGGTCAGTACAGAAATCTTCCACTGTTTGTAGTACTGTTTCTGTTACTGCTAAAATTCGTCAACTGTTGACTCCTACTTGTCACTTGTTTTAAACTGTAACGCTGAAATGCAGATAAAAATGAAGGGATACTGACTTTTGATTTCAGTTCAGGTTCTTGTCTAGAGCTTTGATTGTGTGATAAAGTCCTCATTTGAGGCTTTTCTGCAGTTTAAGTGACTTTAATAAGTTGTCCTGTTATCAGTACTGTTAAAAACAGATCAGGAAAGAGGTTTGCTGTATCTGTTCTCCAATAAAAAGATGCCATCCTTTAAATATTGAACCCTTTATTAAGTCATGGTATTGAGTCATGCATATATATATATATGCACACACACATATATATGCACACTTGAATCGAGTTGTGTGTTAAAAATAACTTGCTGCTTAAGCTTGTGTGCTTTGTATTTAATGTAGTACAAGTGAATATTTATTTAAGAAAAATAGCAGGTTTTTTAAACAGCATAAGCTTATGCTGTTTAAGAACCGAGACCTTTCATCATCGATTACCATTTCAAAGCATATTGAAAATGCTTAGGCGTTCAACCATCTGAGCAAGTCAAATCTATAATGTGCATTAGTTAGGTTTTTTTTTACCATAGATACAGTTTAAGGGATATCTGTGTTAATGCATATTTTTGATTTTTAGTGCACATGATGGAGTGTTTCGGAGATACCGAGGCTCACGGACATTGGAAGATCTTCAAGGTTATGTTTTAGAGAGAAAGTGGGAAGCTGTGGAGCCTGTAGCAGAATGGAAGTCTCCATCTTCTATAATGTAACACTTCATTTTTATTAACAAGAAAAAGATGTTATGGCACATTATTCATTAAGGGTGATATGTTGACAGCTTAGAGACAAAAGGCCTTTATTCCCTAAACATGTAGGTTTTGCAGAAGCAATCTGTACTGACAGCCTGCTTGCCAGTTTCTCACCTTTAAAAGCAGTTTATTTTCTGCACTGCTGTTGTTTGTGCCTACTGAGGCTTGTTTGTATCATCTTTGAAAATATATAAAGGAAGAAAAGTACAGCCACTGAGCATTATATAAGTGTCAGTTTCCGTATCTGCTGAGTGCTGGAATCAAATGCATGTTTATGTAGATTATTACTTCATGACTTCTTGCTACTTGGGGCAGGCAACCTTTAGCTTTATGGATTTAATAGAATGATAGAATAGTTGGAGTTGGAAGGGACCTTAAAGATTGTCTAGTTCCACCCTCCCTTGTTTTTTTCTTGTTTATTTGTTTGAAAGGCCTTGTGACCTCCTCTGGAATAGGAAACAATGTAGTGTTTACACAGTATATCAGAATTTGTTTTCAGAGTATTACATTTGCTTTGAAATAGTGTAGAATGCTTACATGATATAAAGGATGAACTAGAGATGTGCATGGCTGCATTTCATTCTGGCTAGAGCTAGTATGTGTAAATTCATGTTAAAGATCCAGATGAGATTTTTCATCTGAGATTGAGGAAAAGCTGTAGGATATTCAGCAATGGGGAGGGGAACTACAGAGTTGCATGCTGCTGTGAGTTGGGGAAAAGGCGATTCCATCTGCAGGGACTTAAGCTGTGAAACTGCTATTTCTTGATTATGCTCAAATGTCATCTTTCAAGTCACTGTTTCGATGCTTTGTATTGAGCTGGCTTAAATGAACATAATGCAGAGAAAATGTATTTGTTTCCAGTAGCCTGCTTCTGAAAATTACTAGGCCCTGAATGGCATTGAAAGTCTATAGATAGAATCCTTTTCCGATTTCTACGCAGTTTGCTGTGTCTCTCAACTTCTGTCTGTCTTAGAACCTGTTCCTTCTGTTTCTTTGTTTTCTAGGATGCATGGCATGGCAGGGCTGTTTCACCTCTCCAGATGGATCAGAGTAAGTAACTGTGATAGTGTTTTCCATACCCCTTTTTATGCTTAGAATAATGATCTGTTTAGAAGTCAAAACCTAACTGAATACTTTTATGATCCTTTTATGAGAGTTATATTTTCCTTATGTTTACTGTATATTGAGTGTGTAGTATCTTTGCACTATAAATTTTGTAGTATTAATACGCTATGCCAAAAATGGCAGTTTGATTGTAAAGATTGTCATCAATACTGAAAATACTTACTGTTCTTATCTTGGTATAGTTAAAATATTCTATCAAAGTGTGCTAACAGGATAAAGTATTTTTCTGAGAGCTGCTTCAAAAATCGTTGTAAACATCAGGAATGCATTTAGTATCTACCAGATTCTCTCACTTAATACTATTCCTAAAGATTATATCTGGGTTCATTTTCAGTGTTGTAAATCATGTTCTTCTGCAGTTTGTGTGCATCTAGTGTGTTGTATAGAAGAGGGAGTAACGGTTTTATTCTTTAGTAAGAATTTCTGCATCTGGATTTCAAACTGTCAATGCCATTTGCATAGGAACACAACAAATTCGGACAGTAAAGTAATTATCAGAAGTAAAGGAGAAATGCTTAGCATACACTGAAGTATACTTTGAACTTAAAAATATTTCAAGACACTTTGTGAGCTATCAAAGTGTTTCCTGTAGCATGTAAATACTGAGAATTTTCAGACCTTTTCAATTTTGGTCAGAAAGCATACTCTTTCTTAAAATCTCGAAGTGTAGCCAAGACTGAGAGATTATATTTGATTGTAGCAAAAGGGCTTAATATTGTAATGTGCTACAAAAAATAAATGTAGCAAGTTTGAACAGAGTTCATATCATTTCCAGTAAGCGTCTAACTAACCCAGAATCAAACAAAACTTTTGGTTTTTAGGTTTCCTGTGCAAGCTGTATTTGATTCTTCCTTTCACTGGATAGTATTAACTTTTTATAGCCTTCTGGCATTTCACTTCCATGGTTGCTGTGTAATGATGTTGTCTCTGTCTAGTTTCCTTCCTGAACGATTAAATGCTCTAGGAAGATACCTTCTCTAATTTACTTTCCTCTTTGATGAGTATTTCAGCTGTGTGTTTCCTCACTCTTCTTCCTGTGCTGTCCTTGCATATGCTTTAATAAATGTTGGAAGGTGTTCTGACATTTAAAAAAGAACACCACCACCCTGGAATTTCAATATTTGAACTTTTATAAATGTTGATTGTGGTTTGTTTTCTAATGGATATACTCTTGGCAGAGATCTAATGTGATAACTTACTTCCTACCAGACTACCTGGCTTGATGTGATCCTTGGTTCAGTCACTTGGATTTGTAGGTTTGAAAAACAGACTTCGGTTTTAAAGAAATCTTAATATTATATTTGAATTATTCTCTTTAAAACTATAAGTGAAATCACTTATTCAGTGTCTGCTTAGAATGGGTGGCTCCTTTTAAGAACTAAAGAGCTGGAGTAAGAACTAAAAGGCTTAATTTTTGTTCATGAACAAATTCCCGAATTTAAGTATGTATTTTGTCCACCACTCTGCTTCTCAGATGTAATTAAGGGGATAAACCTCTCCATCAGGGTACATTTTTTTCACTTGGTAGCGTGCTTATGAAGTGGGTATAAAAGGACACTTGCTTTTAACCTGACTTGGTGCTTTTTTGGTTCTGAAATGTTTAGGTTACAAGTTACCTTTTTTAAATAATTGGATTCATAGACTTCTGTTGGTGCTGTGATTGTCATTACCAGGGATGCTTACTGTATGGTCTCCTTCCTGCAACAGAGGCCATAAGAACAAATGTGTCATGCCCTGGGTTCATCTAGCCCAGTAGTCTGTCTCTGACAGTTGCCACCTTCTTACAGAATATAAGAACGTTGTGACATTTTCCTGTATGCTCTGAGGCTTCCTCATACATTTATCTGCAGTAAGATTATGCGTGGCATCTCTAATACCGAGTGTTGCAGGAAGAAGGAATTGTGCATACTTGGCTTAAAAAGTTTTTTAATGTGAACAACTTGGTAAAGAAAAAGAAGATTTAATGGTATCAAAAGAGTTATAGTATGACATTTAAGGATGCCTAGGGCTTGAGAAGGAAGACTTCAGTATAAATACTGTTAAAGAAAAGGTATTAAATAGATGCCAGTTTATGTAATGGTGATGGTAGTATAAATTGTAAGTGGTGTTAGGTATGAAGTTATTAACTATCTTCTTCTCATTTCCAGCAAATTCATAGCTACCTCACTGACACTCTTGGAATTCACGTTTGGATTTCTTATGCAGTCTTCATCTTAGCTACCTTATTGATTGGCCTGTTCCTGGGTTTGGTAAGAAGGCATATTACTTTCTTTTTCTCAGTTACCTAGAACATTTGCTTTGCATAAACTTGTGGAAGAAAAAAAAAAAAAAAAACAACACTGATAAGATATACTGAAGTACCTTGTTTTAATGATGTATCTCTTCTCCCTTGGATCCAGTGATAGAATGTGTGGGAATGGTTCAAAGCTGTGCCAGGAGGGATTTAGACTGGACAGTAGGAAGCATTTTTTTACCAAGAGGGTGGTCAAAAAATGGAACAGGCTTCCTGGAGAGGTGGTCAGTGCCCCAAGCCTGTCAGTGTTTGAGGCATTTGGAGAATGCCCTTAATAATATACTTTAACATGGTCAGCCCTGAACTGGTCAGGCAGACTAGATGATCAGTGTAGCTCCCTTCCAACTGAAATAGTCTATTCTATCCTTTTAAAATTCTTAAATATTTGGTACTGCAGATCCACTCTTTAGTGGTGTTACCTACTTCTGGTAAAGGGTGAGACTGGTTCACTCTAAGTTATCCTTTTTATGAAATTCATGCTTCAATTTAGACTTGTTTAGTGCATCCACTAAACAAATGATTTTTATATTGGCTTTTTTGTAATGAAGACTTGTATACTTAAGGATTGAATGCCTGTGGTCAGAATTGTGTAATGACTCCAACTTTCTAAAAACGTAGACTTTGTGGAGAGACTTCTTTTAGCTGGAGTGGGATTCTATTTGTGGGAATTAGCAATGCAAGTACGCTGCTGCACTGTTACTCAAAATGAAAGGTTGAAAATATTTTTTTAAAGGCTTCAAAGATTTGGGGGTTTAATTGATTTACTCTATTCCGGGGCATAGCTTTGTGGTTACAGCTTAGTTTTAATAAAATCTGACTTCACTTTTTTTCTCCCCCGTGATCTTTTTGTTTGAGTTCTCATTAGTAATTGAAAAATCTGACCTCTGTTACTGACCAGAACTGGTGCTTCCTATATCAATCTCCAAAACATCAGGAAGGTTACTCAGACAAACCTGTTAGCTATATATGCAAATGTTAAGGACAATATCCTGAGCCCTGAGTTGTTTCATTGGGGAACTAGTTTGAAGTTGCTTTACTTGTGGAGCTGGGATTATTTCCTCTCAGAATATTTGAGTGATGTGGCTCCATGAGCTCTCAAATATCAGTATCAAATGAGAAACTGAGATGGAAAAGGAGATACAGATGGCAATAGAAGTTCTTCCAGGTTAGTTGTTTGGTCCACAAGTGTGTTCTGCACCTGCGAAGACACTTTAAATCATTTGTGCTGATAACTGGTTTAACTACCTGCTAAATCACTATATCTTGAAGGAATTGTAAAGGTTGTTTCTGGCACTTGAATCTCTGCCCTTCAGCCCAAATATTGGTGTTAATGAAATAAAGAAAAATTGCATGAGTGTGTTTCTCAGCAGTACAGGGAAGTGATTTCAAAGCTCTGTGTGTGTGTATATTTAGGCAAAACCACATTTTTATACATAGTATGTTTACAGGATTGGTATATGTGAGCAAGTGTCTTTCATTATACAGTTTAAACAGCTGCATTTTTCTGGATGGTAGGTTTTCATCACCAAATGAGTGTAAGTCAAGTTAGCATAACTGGAAGCAAATGAATGTGATGATTTTAAAAAAAAAAGAAAATTTCCTTCTTCCTCCTTCACCAAAAAACCCCCCAAACCTAAAAAGCTGAAAAAATGTGAAGTTAATCTCTCATTTTTTTCTAAAAAACTTTTCAATGATTGAAATGTATTTCTTTAACATGGTATCATCTCTCTTCCTTTCCTTTGCATTATTCTTAGCATGTGACAAAGACACAAATATCTTCCTTGTGTTTTGATTGTCTGTGCTCTGTACTAGGCTGCTTTAAATAACAACAAGCACAAAAGGTGGAAGTACATATCGTGTATTGGGGAGCCAGGGGTAGGAATGGAATAACATCCCAAGATATAGAAAATCTTGACCAAGATTGTTTCATAAGTTTTAAAGAAACAAAAATCCTCAACCGTGTTCTGGGCCTCGCTTCTTAAGATGCAAGCAGTTTCAATGCTGAATAAATTTAGGGAAGTAGGAGGCAGAAAGTTTGTAGCAGAAAGCAGAGAATGTTGGTTGGTATACACAGAGAACATGCTTTTTTCTGTGTTTTTTTTTAGCTCTTATCTCTGAGCAAGATAATACCATTTTCTAAATTTTATCGTATGTCTATCTAAAAAGGATTAGTAGGAAAATACTTAATAGTGCAGGGGCCTGCTGGAATGATTTGGAAATAAATGCCTTTTTTTTTTTTTTTTGGTCTTTCTTTCTTTACACAGATCCTGGTTTTGATTTCAGACTGCCTTTGCCTATCCAAGTCAAAATACAGAGGTGAAACATCTGGTAAGAACTCTTAAGTGGGTGAGATACTGGAAGTTTAAATGTAACCTTGTAAGAGGGAGGGCTATACACTGTCAAGAACTTATATGTGAACCAATAATCCAGGTATTCGTTTTAGCCACACAGACAAAGATTGATATGTTGGGGTCTAAAATATCTATGTCAAAGCATCCACTTGGAGGGTAGCACAGCAGACAAAAAGAAAAAAAACAAACCCAGCAAAAAAAACCCACTAAAAAACTTGCACATGAAATAAAGTCTTTTGTCAGCACCAGATGTGTGTTAAGCTCCAGAACATGTGTTTTGGTAAGTTTGTGCTATTAGATGGATTCAAAACTTAACTGTAATTAATAATTTATTTCTTAATTGTGTACATTTGTGTGTATTAGTTTGCTGAAGATGCAGATGCATCTGTGACACTTGCCAATAAGACTTCAGCCAAATCTAGAAATTATAGGTGTCCAACAATCTTCAAAATCTTAGGTATTCATCACTATCAAAAGAAAAGTGCACCTGTGCATACTTGTGCAGTGTGCTATCCTTGACTAGTTGACTCAACAGCAGCTATTACTTGACAGAGCTTACTGGTGTCTTATCATATTCCTACTGATTTTTTTGGTAACAATACCTCTTCAAGGAGCCTGGTAAAACTGATCTGTCTTTAGTTTGTAACTTGGTGGAACAAAATGAAAGCTATCTGTGCCCAATATGCAAGAAAAACAAATGGAGGAGAAATATTACTGAAGATTTATTTGAAATAATTGAAAAATAAGATTACAGACCTGTACAAGTTTTCAGTAATAATGTACATGAATATTTCAGAATACATACATGGTGATGTAATTTTAAAAGACATTGTTCTGAGGCTCAGTCTAACTTCAGTATTTGAAACTATGCTTTGGTTTAGAAGAAGCAATTACAAAGGATAATGTGGAGAATGCGGCATTAGAAGAACCAGAGGAGGCTGCAGAGCTTTCCGCAGATGATGCAGAAGAGACTGCAGATGTAAAAGATCTCTCAGACAGAGAAGACGCAGCAAATTCAAGTGCTGATGACTCAGAGGAGGATTTAGCACTTGGAAAAGAATCAGGGGAAGAAGAAATGGAAGACTTAAGTGAACAACCTTTAGCTGATTCAGAGACTGAAAGCTCAGTAAGACAGCGTAAAAGTCAAGTGGCTGATAATGGACTATAGTTGTTTCCACGAGTATTTTGTACACTTGGACCAAAGAAGTATCAAACCCTGTGTCTGAAACTGAAGCTTACTCTTGATTTGTCATTTGTGTTTATGCAAAACCTCTGATCTGTCAGCAGGCTTCTCTTTTTTTTTTTTTTTTAAGCTAATACTTGCTCATTGGGTTTGGTTTATAAGCACATATGCTGTGTATGGTACAACTTTAGCCATGACAATCATAAGAAGTGTATCTTACCTGTTTGTACTCTTCTAAGAGAAAAGGGGTCTAACAGTTTCAGTTCACTGGCAATAAAATGGCCACCTATGCTTGTGTTGCTTTGTAGTTATTGACCTAAGCAAGATCAGGACTTTTGACTTTATGTGGTAGCTTGGTGTTGTGGTTTAGCCCGGGCTGCCAGCAAAGAACCACACAACTGCTCTATTGCCCTTCCTCCTGGTGCGTTGTGGAGGAGAATCAGAAGAAAAAGCCAAAACTCGTGGGTCGGGGTAAGGAGAGTTTAACAGAACAGCAAAGGAAGTGAACAATAACAACAATACTGAGAAGAATAATACACAAAACCAAGGAAATATGCAGAGCACCTCTCTCACCGCCTGATGCTGCTCCTGAGCAATAACAACCTCCCCCCAGCCAGCTGTCCCACACCAAAGGGAGCACGATGTTACATGGTATCGAATATCCTGTTTGTTTGGCCAGTTTGGGTCAGCTGTCCTGCCTGTGTCCACTCCTGGCTTCTTGTGAAAAATTAACCCTATCCTAGGCGGACACAGGACACTTGGCAGTACTGTGACTTTCCTATTTGAGAGTGTATTGTTTCCAAATGCCACAGAAGCACCAGTAAAGTGATAAAGTAGTGAAAGAAGGCACCTTACTAGTCTTCTATTAGAAATGTTGTGTATGGTGGGTATATTTTACCACTTTCAACTGAAGCACCTTTCTCATTCATTTTTGTTAATGTTTGTTTTGGAAGTTTATCATACAGTATGCTGTGTTCTCCCAGATTTTTCAGTTTTTGGTGATTTGGAGGCGTGCTGCACAGCTCAAGCTTGTCAGCTGAGTTTTTTTGACTCGGGAGTCGTCTGAGGAGTTTGAGTAATTGAAAAGCTCAGGCTGAGAAAGAATGGAAGCTAAATGTTTAAAATATGTTTGAACTTTTAAAAGATTTAAAGAAAATTATTCTGATCAAGGGGGATTTTTGCGAAACAATGATTTCCCTCTGTGTGTGTTGTTCCCCCCCCCCTTTCCTCCCAAGACTGTAGCAAGAAGTATTCACTTTGCAGTCAGTAAGTTGTACACTTCTTGCTAATACAAGCTTGTCATATGCAGTGCAGTTCTACCATTTCCAGCTCAGAAGATTTTTGGCAGTACTCAAACTGCTTTTGTAATATTAACTGAAGAGGCACTTAAGATTTTAACCTGTGATCACTATTCTAATTTTGTCATTGGAATTGGAAAAGAGAGGGGCGCAGGTGGGTAGTAGGGAAAAGCTTTTGGCTTTGCTACTTTTATCAGAGTAAACATGTATTTGTTGAACTGTGTGAAGTGAAAATGGCTTGCCATTTAGCGTTAGATGTGGTTAGAAGACTTAAGTCATTAAAGATATTGATATTTCCCTCCTTTGACTTGGTTAATATATACGGCATCTTTTTATTTGTAAGGAAGAGCTACAGTGAGATCCTGTATGTTCCTGTTTCGTTGATGTGTGATCATGTGCATAAGATGTGTCTCAATCTTGATTTTTTAATTTTATAGATGTGTATTGCTAGCATGCATGAATCTCCTCTTGTTCTTCAAGAATAAAGAGTAATCAGAGATGAAATAATTTTTCGTTAGAAGATACAAGTTGCAAGTGCAAAATGCTGGTTTCCTTTGAGACTGAGATTTATAGGGCCAATTTGTGTTGAAAATGGTTGTGGTTGGTTTTTTTAATGCTCAAAAAAAGCGTGTTTACTAAGAAAGCTTAACTTTTCCTGTCTGTGTCCTGTTGCATATTGTGTCTTGAAGCTATATGGTAGAAGTTTTGCATTTGTCGCTACAGCTGTGCAAAGAACAAAATTACACTGAATATATTGAATATGAATTTTCTTAAGGAATATTCTCAGTTTGGAGATTACTGGAACACATGGACACATGTAAATATGCTTTCACATGTGTGAAAACATACAGCTGATAATATGTATACGTTGCACTATAATGAGAACAGTTTGCCTTGTGCTATTTGGGCGATGTCGCATGTAACTGAGCAATTATAGAAGCTTACAGACAGCAGAACTCAGTAGCAGTTGAGGTACATAGCATTTTTTTTAAAAAAAAAAATTTTAAAACCCCCCACCAAAGCAACCCGAAGCTCAAGCTGAGCTTTTATTTGCAAAAATGAAGAAACCTTTGGGGCCGCTGTAGTCTGGATGGAAGAATTGTGCAGCTAAAAGTTCAGAGTACAGATTTGTTGTTCTCGTAATGTATTTGCTTTTTTCATTATCTGTGCATCAGGAGCTCATAAAAGTCTAACACAAAAACAAGACTTTAACCATATTTCATGAGACAAGCAAGAGTCAGTGTGTATATTCAGTTACATGAACTTGCATAAGATAAGAATAGACCTATCCCCTCAGTGACGAATCCAAAGCTACCAGACACTGAAAAATATGTGGGACTGTATCCAGCACAGATTGAGGGTAGTGATGACTTCGGTTGTGTACCAAAGAGGATATTTTGTACTGCATAGGGTCTTGTGATACTGTGTAGGAGGGAGCATGTCAATATTAAATTTTAATTCAGTTTCTCTTCACTTTACTAATATCATGGAGCCAATCTAATATCCTCTCCAGCTGTTTAAAGGGGTTTTAACTTGAAAAGATACAGAACATCCTTATACCTCACAGTGGTTTTGTTGTATACTGTTAGGAATATGAAGTATTAAAAAGTCAAGTGTACTCAGGATGAAGTATTTGGGCTTTTTGAATGTTTAGGCGAATAAGGTGTTCTCACAAGAGTCGAATTTCATTATGACATCTTTGAATTTAGAAAACAAAAAAACCCACAAATGACACTTTGTCCTGCAAGATGCATGGTTTATGAGATGCTGTGAGAAAGATCAGAAGCTCCTGTGTGTGGTGATTCTCTGAAGTCTCTGCTTACATTTCTTCTGGTTTTGCATGTCATTGTTAAGTTTGGATTATTTAAAATGAACATACTAAGTATTTTCCATCGTAACAGACCTAACTGCAAGATCACTGTCTGATGAGCAGGGATTAATTAAACAGGCAACAAGTGATAGCAGCTCATCTCTTCATAGATCCCTTGTAAATCTGGAAATCAGCAGTTTTAGGCTTCTGACATATCTTGAATGTAATGCGTATGCCATTGGTCCTATGTTTTCATGAATAAAGTAGGGAATATTGATGGTAACTTGGGTTTGACTGTACTTGACATGTATTGGAGTATCTTATTACAAAGATCACTAAATTGTTACTGAGACTTTAGAAAAACAGGTGCTATGCAACCAATGATATCTCCCATTTAGTTGCACATTTGTAGGAAAATTACTGTAGCATGATACTGGAGATACTCAACTTTCACTAATATTTATCCAGCAAACAAGAAGTAGCAGACATTGTAAAGGCTAAGTTTGTGTTTAACAGAAATACCACTAGCTATGCAGTAAAAGTGCAATGTTAATATGCTTTCCAGAATATGTTTTTTTCCAGTAAAACACATTTTAGTTGAATCATGCAAGTATGGAACAAATGAGACTATTACAATAGCATTAAACTTGGTGTGTTTCCAAAAAAAAAGTCAGTATCAACCTTTTGTGCAATCTGAGTGTTCTGTTATCTCTATTCTGTTATTAATTAAAAAAATGGAACTTGTGCTTGCAACCTCGGTATAGACAAAATGTCCTTGGAGAAGCTGCTGCTAACACTGTTCAAAATGTTTTGGTTAAGGATAGGGCTATAAGGTTTGTAAACTAGAACTGTATGTCAAAAATTACTTAGAATTTTTGAGAACCAAGTTAAATGTCAAAGGGGATGTGTGCCACTCTGAAAACCAGTCCCTGATGGATCTGAACATGAATGCTTAAAAGCAAGTCTTTCAAAAAAATCCGGTGGATTACTTTTTAAAGAGGCCAGAAATACATACAGCCTTTCAAAACTCCTGTCCTCGAGATTTGTGTGAAACTTGTATGCAAGTCTTGGAATACTCTGTACATGCTGAATCCGTGCTGGGCAACACTTGTTCTGTGGGCTTTCTTCGTGGAAATGTTATACAGGTTTGTCCTTTGTATGGAAGTGTTGCAAATTTATACTATGGGTATTTTTACAGAAATTCCATATAAATTTTCTATTTATGATCATCTTGTAGTTAGTTTTCATTTTCTCAGTGTGCGATGGCTTATTTGTGTAATTAACAGAAGATTATTCTTTTTTAATACTGGTCTTTCAATTAATAATAGAGATTGTGACTCGCGAAGATTCCATAATCTCTTTAGAACAAACCTGTCCATTAATTAATTGTTTCTTTCTTACATGAGCGAAAAAGTGCTTGGAAGAAGCATACCTAGATTGAGGGTTTTCCTGTAGTAACTCTGGGCTGAGCAGTATGCTCTAAGGTCTTAAATGTATGCAGGGCTAAAATGCAGACTGCTGGGCAAAATAGTGAAACTCTGAACCCTTGAGGGCTTTACCTCTCTATTAGGTTAGTTTGTTCCCTCCTGGAGATACCCACTAACTCAGCAAATCGTGTGCTAACTCCCTCTGGGATTTGGAGGACAGCAGTACATTTCTCCCTACTGATGTTGTCAAAAAGAAGCGTGCAGATCTAAGTGGTGCATTTTCTGATTGTAGTTCACAGCAAGCAGTCGTTGCTGAAGAAATAGGCCTTAGGGCCAGGTGTGCTGGAGGGAGGAGTCACTACCGGGAACCATCACTGCAATGTATTTGGGTGATGTGAACAGCTACTGGATCCAGTACACAGATTCGGTCTCTTCGGGTGAGTTTCCTGA